TTGAACTGCCAGCCTTCTGGTTAGCAGTCAAGTGCTTTAGCCATTATGCTACCGGATCTCCTAAAGTGAAGTAGTCCTGCTAATAATTTGAAAAGATATGGATGATACTGCTATTCTCTTTAATTTGTGCTTGTTTAAATGTAGCAGTATTAATAATAATAATAATATTTTAAAAGTTTGATGTTGGGGGGTGCCCTTAACCCATCCCAACACTTAGTAACGCCATGTGACAGAGAAGAACTGCCCCATAGGGTTTTCTTGGCAAATTACCAGGTCTTTCTTCTGAGGAGTAAGTGGGTAGGTTTGAACTGCCAACTTTTGTATTAGCAGTCGAATGCTTAACAGTATTTGTGTCACAAAGTCTCTTTTACACATTTTTATCTATCAGGACTCTGATTGAAATCTGAAGGAGCTCTGGTGGAGCGGTGCCTAAGGCATTTGACTGCTAACCAGAAGGTTGTTGGCTCAAATCCACCAGCCACTCCACGGAAGGAAGACTGGGTGGGTAATCTACTTCCATAAATATTTACCGCCTTGAAACCCAAAGGGGGTCAACTCGATGGTAGTCAGTTTGGTTTGGATTGAAATCTGATCCAATTTTACAAAGCTTAAAAATTCTTAGTAACACATAATAAGAAACTATTTTGTATTGTGTTCTGTTTGAATTAGCAAAGAATTCCAAAGGAGAAAATTTGGTTTTGTGAATATGTATATGTTTTGCATATACATATTGAGCATGTATTTTTTTACAATGACTGACAAAAATGACATTTTTTATATTATAGATGAAGGACAAAAAACAAATGTATATTCTGCCCAGTACTGTATATTATTATTGTTAACTTTTACCATCTCTTTAATAAGGATTTTGTATTAAATTTATATCCCTACTTCATAGACAGTCCCAGCACCATAAAAATACCAGAAATGTTTGTTTAGATTAACATAGTTATTTAGAAACAATATTTGATTGATTTTGCCTGTTGTGGTATCTTGGATCGTAATGGTTACCTGATTTTAATTTTAGTTAAAGGTGTGCATTCTGGCTTTAATATTAACTAGCAATAAGTTTGGACAAGTCATCGTGATAGGATAATTTTGTCAATTAAATGAAATAATATAGGTAAAAGGGTTTAATTGCATGACCCTTGCTAAACCAATCACTGGCAAGGAACATTGGGATTGATTTTTAAACCAATCTGAATAATATAGTCATCCTTCCTTATCCCAGGATTCAATCAACCTGGCATTGAAAATACACTGAGAAAAGAAAAAGAAAGCAATTAAATGGTCAAAGCAATTCCTCAAAGGCTAAGAGGAAGTTAAGTGCTATTTAAATATCATCTGCGCTACATTAGATATGATAAGTAATCTAGAGATTATTTAAAACATACGGAAAGATGTGCATAGGTTGTATGCAAATATTACACCATTATTTATAAGAGATTTGAGCATCTGTGTATTTTGGTACCCACAGGAGTTCTGGAACCAATTCTCTACCAATGCCGAGGGACAACTATAGGTTGTATCAAACCACTGAAGCTCAGTTATAAGAAGCAAAGTGACACAAATTGAGGTCCTATTGAGGAGGAGAAAATGAGGAGATGCCATTGATGCATGTTCATTAGGAAACCAACAAAGATTCCAACAGAAGGTGGGAGTCTTTGTGCCTCGGTTTCTAATTTTTATCTTTGTTAAAGAAACTCTATCTGGCCTAGACATAAACATATTATTGAATCACAATTGGAGTAAGTTTGCTTAGGCTATTGTGTCTTCAGGGCAAATAAC